TGTCCCCCTCCCCCAGCCTCCCCTCCCCTGCCCCAGTACTTACCAGCTCGGAGTGGCTGCAGCTCCCTGCTGCAGCCACCGGGTACTGCCCAAATTATCAAAGCTCTCCAAATCTTTTCTGAAAATTTGGAGAGCTTTGAATCAATTCGGACCTTTAAATTGGTCCCCTGATTCAATTTGGATTCAGAGATTTGCCACCGAATCAGGCCGAATCTCCTCCGAATCGAATCACCACCTAAAGCTTTGCACAGCCCTAATGAATACATGGGGAGTTGTCCTCCTTGAGAAACTGCCTCTGCTGGGGAATGGTCTCCTAAAAAAAAAAAAAATAAATAAACTGCACCTGGTTGAAGACTTTTTAAAGGTGGGTGGTATCACAAAGACCACCCTCACACCTGCCACTCTCTAGCTAACCCCAGCCTATTATTCTTGGTAAAGTGACCAAAAATTCGCTGGTTGTTGAAGGTTAGTTAACATCAGCAAGCTTCTTTTGACAGTGCTCAGGCTGTACCTGTCCTGTGCATAGGGAGAGGAGTTTGTCTTCATAATTTGGGTGGTAGAGGTCGTCAGAATGGATTAGATAAAGTTACATTGTCCTGAATCTTCAGACAATGGCCCCAAAAACCCTTTTCTATGGTTCCTAGTCTCCAGGTCAACTTTTCCCTTCCAAAATTGTATATGATTCTGTACAGTCTAGTTTATGGCTTCATAGGAAAACAAAAATGCCTGAGAGGCTACCCTGTTTGGAAAATCCTTGAGCATTTGAGAGAGATTAAACCAATGGGGCACAATAGCAATTATTTTTGAGCACGTTATGCAGTTTAATAGAGAATGACACATTTCTATGGAACAGTTAGTAGTGATAGAGTATTGTATCATTATATAACATTTTACAGTTGAATTTAATTCTATAGAAAAAGATGTGATTCTGATACTTTCCTTGTCAGGGCTAGTGTCTCCATATTGTCATTAATTATTATGCCAAAACCAAGTAATACCCAATTTCCAAAGCAAAGACGTACAGGCAGTACCAGATAATGAACTCACCAAGGTTAGTGGTAAAACCTCCACTGACTTAAGGAGAGCCTGTCCAAGGAAAAATGCCAGGTTAGAAACAAAACTCTTGGGTAGTTTGTTCTACCAAACATGCTGAGTTTTAAATCTCAAGCATCCTGCAGCCCAGCAGGTTTACCTTGCATACCCTTCACGTTTTAAATAAAACTAAATAGACAATTGAGCTGCTAATGTTTGTTCCTTCCCTGCCCACACACTATATTATCATTTTCTCCTGTCCAACGTGAGCTTGAAGCACTATTATTTTGAACTGCGAGAAGTTTACGCCCACTCTGCCTAGGCAAAAGATAACGGAGAGTTATTTCTAGAAGAAGAAAATCTCATTATGATATTGTTGTCCATTCACAACTTGACTTACTGCAGTAGGATCTTTGTCTGACCATACTGTAGCTATGAACCGTGATGGCCTTCCTGAAATGGCCACAGTTTAGCATCATGAATTAAAAAGCAGGTGTTCAGAAGCTGAGGCATGTTTCTGGTCTCATTTTGATTCTGAATTTTTCATAAGTTTTCTGGGCTTGTACAAAAGTCTTCTTGGCCCTGTAAGTAAACAGCACTACTTTGGGCTCAGTAAGACAAATACTTAAACTTCTGGAAAAACATTAAAAGTTGAAAAGTTTCAACCCCTTGAGGATTCTGCTATAAAAAGTCTCAATGGGCTATTTTGCTTAAGCAGAATCCTAAGCAACCTTATCAAATGGTCAGAGCATGAGACTGGGGCTAAGGAGTTCTGCCCTAGCCTCTGGGAAAGTTTACTCCCTGCACCATGCTTCAGTTTTCCTACCTGTAAAATGGAGATAATGACACTGACCCACCTTTGCAAAGTATTTTAGGATTTACTGATATAAAGTTGTAAATAGCTTATAATTAGAATTTAACACTTCCTATTCATTCTCAAGTCACTCTAGATATCCAATATCCATCCTGTACCATTTTTAAGAAGTCTTATAAAATACCTCTTTACATCTGTAGCAGGGTCAGAGTTTTGCATCGCTCAAAAGCCCTTAAACTTCACATAGTTCTTATTTCCTGGGCACACTTGCCTGTTAGGAACCACCACCAACATTAATTATGCACTCCATAACACAAACTTGACACAGTCCATACAGGGTGCACTCACAGTCCCGAGTCTCTTCTGGCCCTAAGAAAGTGCCTCTGGCTTACTGCTGCTCCCTCTTCAGTGCAGTCTTCCTTCTCAGTCTGGCTCTGACTCCAGTCCTATGGCTTCTAGCCACACAGCCTTGAGTCTCTTTCCAGACCCAGAGGAGAAGCCTGGCTCCTTTCTCTCCTCCTTCTCTTTCCCAGTTTCTCAGTAAACCCTCTCTCCCACTATCTTCCTCTCTAGGAACCTTTAACTTCCTGTGGCCAGCTGATTATCATTCTCAGCTGGTCCAGGCCTCCTAGGCAGCCTGCAATCGGTGCCTACTGCCTGTTGCTGGGCTGTAGCCCTTGCAAGTCTGCAGAGTCCTACAGCCAATTGTGTGTAGTCTGTTGCAATCCTTTATCAGCCAGCCTGCTACAAGACCATTTCTGAGTTTCTTTTTCCCTCCTTCATTTCACTAATGTGACTATCGCCCATGTCCAGCTAGGGATGACAGGGCCAAGAGACATTTCCAAATTGAGCAGCCCACTGGGCTGCCAAATTTTCATAGTCAACAGTACACAGGATAGTGATGTGGCTAGCTGCCTTTGTCTCCTGGACCAAATGACCTGGTATTCATTTACAGCAGGGTCAACTGGAATCAGGCTTTGGCTCAGGTCCAGAGAAGGACTTGAAATCCTACTTCTGCATCCATGTCCATGAATTTATGGTAGCTACTTTATAACTTTCTTGCTAAACTTTTAGCTCTGTTTAAACAGTCAAATCCAAGTAAGAACTTTGTCTTGGCAAATATTGGTCTCCAGAGGTGATGTTGCATGCATGAGTTTGATGGCATTGTGCAAAGAATTAAGCAGCCTCTGAAATACTTTGCATTTGCCACTGACTGGTAAGTTCCTGTCCATTCTTTCTTTCAGAATATGCAGTGATGAGCCAGACTATGGTACCATGACCATCCAGAAAGCCATTCAGTTCCTGTGCTCCTCGGATGAGAAACATCAAGCCATGGGTGCTTACTACCTCCAGCACACCTGCTTCCAGGATGAATCTGCCAAGCAAGAGGTAAAACTATTTAATTTACTGCCACTTAGTCATCAGCTGGCTGTGATTTTGGGGAGCCCTCATTTTTAGAAGGTCTGCCTGAGCTACCTTGGGGTTGATATTCACCACTACTTTCATTCCCTTTGGTTTGAACAGGAGGCGGTGTACTCAGCAATTCTGAAATGATTCATTATGTGAAGCTTGCAAATAACAAGGGAGCAAAAATTAGTGGCCATTTAAAAAAGTTTGGACCTAAAAATGGGGACAATGTGGTTGGGATGTTACCCTTTACATCTTCATAGAGCTGCAACATTTTCATTGCACATTTTTCATTAAACCCTATGTGACCCTTTGAAAATACAAGAATGCATTGAGTTAAATCTTATTTAATATTCCCATGATGGCACTTAGCTAACTTCTGGAACTTACATGTTCACATGAATAGGACCACACGTTCACATGAATGTCATGCACAGACATGCAAGCTAACATGACAGCATTGCTTTCACCCATGGCTGTGTTGTATGGTGTTCTGAAATTCAGGTTTGTCAGACCAGATGAGGTTAGCATTGGATAGCATCTGGGAGCTTTCTTGCCAGGGTCCCTTCTGTTTCATTACTAGATCCAAGTGGGTACAGTTTAGTAACGTTCTTAATGCCCTCAGTCCTCCATGAGCATCTTACAGGAGGTCTGCTACTCTCCACAGAACTGTGCCCAATATTTCTTGAGGTGAAGTATGTCTGGGTGTTTATAGCATGGGAAATCCACACCCTTCCTAGTTTCAACCCAATTAGATAGGAAGCCATTGAAGATGAACCCAGTGAAGATGCAGCAGACACATCAGCACAGGATGGACAACCCTGCCTGAAGCCATGAGTGCTTAGTTGGGTAATGGGTGGGCAGTCTACCCTGAAGTCTGCGTTGTTGCGACTTCAGTGTGATTGCACTCAAATTAGCTAGAATAAAGTTAGGGTGGGTAGGCCATCCTTGGCTGCAGGTACACCTCTGTCTGCAGGGCAGACACAATCTCTGCAGCTGCTGAGTAGACACTTCCAGAGAATTTGCCTCTCCCAAAGACCTCTGATTCATTTTTCTTTTGTCAGCAAGTTTTGAGCCTTTTTCTCCAGCCAGTAGTTGGTTATGCTAGTACTTACCCACGCAGCAATCCTATAATGGGACAGGCGAGATCTCTGATTACCTAACAGATTCAGAGCTGAGTCTAAGTCTAGGCGAATCTACCAAGAATCTAAGTTCCTGTAACTTTCACCTTTTTCCAGCTTTATCAGTATGGGTATTACCATACATTAATCTAGGCTCCTTCTACATTTCCTTAGAATTAGATTCACAGTTATTGTTGACCCATAATGTAGACATCCTCACTTTACACATAACCTTGTACTAGGAGCCCTTGGTCTTAGAATCATAGCATCAAAGAAAATTAGGGTTAGAGGGACCTCAAGAGGTCATCTAGTCCAACCCCCTACTCAAAGGAGGACCAGCCCCAACTAGATCATCCCAGCCAGGGCTTTGTCCAGCTTGGTCTTAAAAACCTCCAAGGATGGAGATTCCACAACTTCTCTGGGTAACTCATTCCAGTGCTTCACCACCATCCTAGTAAGAAAGTTTTCCTTATTTCCACCCTAAATCTCCCTTGCTGCAACTTGAGACCATTGCTCCTTGTTCTGTCATTTGCCACCATCGAGAACAGTCCAGCTCCATCCTCTTTGGAGCCACCCTTTAGGTAGTTGAAGGCTGTTATCAAATCCCCTCTCAGTCTTCTCTTCTCCAAACTAAATAAACCCAGTTCCCTCAGCCTCTCCTTGTAAGTCATGTACCCCAGCCACAAACCATTTTCATAGCTCTCCTTCCCTTTCAATTCATTCCCCCCAGCCACAAACCATTTTCATAGCTCTCCGCTGGACTCTCTCCAACTTGTCCACATCCTTTCTATAGTGGGTGGCCCAAACTGAACACAGTGCTCCAGATGTGGCCTCACCAGTGCAGAATAGAGCAGAATAATTACTTCCCTTGACCTGCTGGCAACATTCCTACTAATGCAGTCCACTGTTAGCCTTTTTGGCAACAAGGGCACACTGCTGGCTCATATTCAGCTTATTTCCCACTGTAACCCCCAGGTCCTTTTCTGCAGAGCTGCTGCCCAGCCAGTCAGCCCCCATGGGATTCTTCATTCCTAACTGCAGGGCTTTGCACTTGTCCTTGTTGAACCTCATGATATTTCTTTTGGCCCAACTTGACAATTTGTCTAGGTCACTCTGAATCTGAGCCCTACCCTCCAGTGTATCTACTATACGCCCAGCTTGGTGTCATCTGCAAACTTGCTGAGGGTGCACACCATCCCATCTTCCAGATCATTAATGAAGATATTGGACAAAACTGGCCCCAGGCACTCCAGTTGATACCAGATGCCAGCTAGACATTGAGCCATTGATTACTACCCACTGAGCCCAACAATCCAGCCAGCTTTCTATTCAGCTTAAAGTCCATTCATCCAACCCATACTTCCTCAGCTTGCTTCCAAGAATGCTGTGGGAAACAGTATCAAAAGCCTAGCTAAAGTCAAGGCATAGCATGTCCACTGCTTTCCCTGCATCCAGAGAGCCAGTTATGTCATCATAGAAGGCAATCAGGTTAGTCAGGCATGACTTGCCCTTGGTGAGTCAACGATGACTGTTCCTAATCATCTTCTTCTCCTCCAAGTGCTTAGAAATGAATTATTTGAGGACCTGCTCCATGATTTTTCTGAACTGAGGTGAGGCTGACTGGTCTGTATTTTCCTGGATCCTCCTCCTTCCCTTTCTTAAAGATGGGCACTATATTTGCCCTCTTCCAATTGTCTGGAACCTCCCCCCACTCGCCACAAGTTTTCAAAGATAATGGCCAGTGGCTCTGCAATCACATCAGCCAACTCCCTCAGCACCCTTGGATTCATTGCATCTAGTCCCATGGACTTGTATACAACCAGCTTTTCTAAATAGTCCCTAACCTGTTCTTAACCATGTGTAAGGGAATTGAAACTATGTCATCTACAAACCCCCTCTGAATTTAATCTGTGGCTTTTGGATAATGGTAAATGAAGATGGGATTTTATTGTAATACTATATGGTAGTATCTGGGTACTGTTTTAGGTCATATCCTCAACTGAGGTGAACTGCTGTAGTCGTGCTGAAGACGTTGGGAGAAACTCTTATATACATCAGTCAAGGATTTGGCTCAGGGTCGTTACTTGCGATCTTTAATTGTTAGAATCTGACTCAGCAAGGCAATCAGCATGGTCTCAGTTGACGATGGCTGGAACATAGTATATTGGAAGTGGAAGGATGCGGGGTATCTTTTACATGCTTGGGAGACTATACCAGACCAACTTCTTGTGTTAACTTCAGTCACTTTGGTCCTTTAATGATCAAAAAAAAATCAGTGATGGTTTGCATATGATTTTCATCACTGATTATCTTCTCCCCAGGTCTACCGGCTGGGTGGCATTGCCAAGCTGGTCGAACTCCTCCGCAGCACAAACCAGAATGTCCAGCAGGCTGCAGCCGGGGCTCTTAGAAACATAGTCTTCAGAAATCCAGTCAACAAGATAGAAACCCGACGGCAGAATGGAATCAGGGAGAGTGTGAGCCTTCTGAGGAGAGCTGGGAACACTGAAACACAGAAGCAGCTGACAGGTACACTGCAAACCAACGAGAGACCCTTGGTCTTTGGAAATTAGGTTGCCTCCATTGAAACCTTTCCTACACCTAAGGATCTCCTTCTGTAGCACAGGAGCCTGGTTCTGCCCTGTCAAGGCATTGCCCTTAACACCTGTGCACACTGAGCATGTAGCACTGTTAGATCTAGGATGGCCACCATAGAGGACCTTCCAGTTTTCTGCTACTCTGTCCTCTATTGATGCGAAACCTGACGCCTTTATGTCATAAAGGCATCCGGTTTCATATCAATAAAGGACAGAGGACAACCGGACTGTCCTCTATGATGGCCACCCTAGTCAGATCGCAGTGATAAGGATTGACACAATATCACTGCTCTGCCCAGATGTAAATGAGGATGCAAATTGTAGGTTGCTACTGGCCCACAAACCAGGACCAGACTCAGAGCTTGCCTCTTTCCACACATTTTACCTCCACAGCTGTACTCATTTAAGGTTTTTGAGCTTTCACTGCCCACCTGCATTCATCTGACAGCTGCATATGGGGATTTATCAAAGAAGAGTCCCCCACTTTGGAATTTAGTTTCCCTGGTTGGGTCTTATAACAGTAGTATGGGCTATGGGCGTCCTATTGGGCTGGATTTCAGTAGGGTCAAATGAGTTTGTTGGCAGTAGGTCATCCTGAATTGAATTTGATTGTACTATATGTGAACCTTTATTAGAAGGATTCTCCCTACACCTTTCCATGCTAAATTGAAATCCATAAATATATATGCTTGTTGGGGAAGGGTGCTTCCCCATCTATGTTATAATAAAGGTCCCCTGTCCAAGGTCTCAGTAGGCTGTTTCTGCCCATCTCTCATTTAACTGAACATACTCTGGCTTGCCTGAATCTACTGTTAGGAGTACTTTATTCCTTTGGTAAAAGGGTGCGTGGTTAAATGGGAGGTAGGGGATACTGGAAAGCATGATGTTTTTGTTGTCTGGAAAGGATAGGCAAGAAGAGTGCCTTATTAGTGCACTAAATTCAAGACCTCTTCAAAATAAGAGAGGTGACTTGCTGGACTTGTACAGAAAAGCTGGTGTTTGAACTATATAAACAGTACCACATGGTGTAACAGTAGAGGCAGAGTCGGGGGTTTCAGATTAAATGACTGCGCTTCAGCTCTTCTGTTCATGAACTGGGATCAGAGCAAATCCTCTCTCACAAAATGACAGAAATCTGGAGAGTGTCTTGAATTTTTCAAGCCTGGGCCAAGGACCTGACTCATCTGCCACTTACTCCAATTTTACGCTAGAGTAGCTTTGGCCTAGTTGTGCCCTTTTTGTACACCAGTGTAATTGAGGCCTCTTATGCATGAAGGCAGTCAGCTAAAGTGAGTCTTGCATTTTCATTTTAGGGCTGCTATGGAACTTGTCCTCCACGGATGAACTGAAAGAAGAGTTGATACAGGAAGCCCTCCCTGTCTTGACAGATTGTGTTATTGTTCCTTTCTCTGGCTGGTCTGATGGCACCAGTAATAGGACAAGAGAAATTATTGACCCAGAGGTATTCTTCAATGCCACAGGCTGTTTGAGGTAGGCCAGCAGACAAGTAGCTACATCAGCAAGCATAGGGGATGTGTAAGTGCTGACAGTGGGGAGGGGCACAACTCTGTGCTACTGCCCCTGCTGCTGCTGGGCATTGGATCTGGCTGGGCTGCATCCCCACACCCTGCCATTGGTGCAGAAATTGCGCTGCCAACACGAGCCCCATTTCTGCCAGGCCCTGGCTCTGGCCAGGCTGCAGCCCCATGCCCTGCGCCCTGCTGTTGGCACAGAAATCTGGAGGGGGGGGGGCACATGCCCCCCCATTCCCCTCGATATTTTGTCAGTGTCAACAAGCCAATCTGTTGACCAAAATTGTCTAACCCCCGTCCTCATGTCTACTTGGGAAGTTTGACCATTGGCTGGTATTTTTAAAGTTAACAAGGGAAGTAGGTGCTGAATTTGTGCATTTGGCAATTCAATACATTGCAGACCTCCTGATATTCCTTCATAAAGTTTTCAGGGCAGTTTGAGTAAGTGGAAATGTTTCTATTCAATTTGAAAATTTGAATTTTGGCAAAGCATTTTTTTGGCAAGTAATTTGCTTTCCTTAAAAATTACTTTTCATTGGGCAACTAAAAACCTGAAATAAAACCTTTGGGTGGGAAAGTAGAATTTGCTGATGGAAGATTTTCAATTTTCAGTTGTAAACTTGCAATTTTGGGCCATCAGAAATGAAAAATAATTTGGTTTCTGTTATTTGATGAAAAGTGAAACCTTTCCATAAATAAGCATGTTCCAGTTATCTCTAGTGCCTGTTTCTAATTCATAAATTTGACTTGATTTTTATTCTTGCTATGTTCTGGATCCATCCATTGGGTCTTCTAACTAGTTACAATTACTGGGTGTTGCTCATTAGGGCTGTTGGAGGTTTTGGACAGAGCTTTGGACCCGGAGAAGCTTCGGACGTTTCAGGGTCCGAAGCAGCACGTCCGGGTCGAAGCGCTGGTCTCATTTGGCTTCCTGAAGCGGTTCGGAGCTGCCTCAGAGATCCGGCCATAGGGTATAATGGGGAAACAATAAAAGATCTATAACTTTGTTGTTTTTTTCTCCTATTTGGATGAACTTTTCAGGGATGGTAGACTCTGCAGAGAGGATGAAGCCTGCCAAGTTTCAAGATTGGTGCAGGGGTTTGGGGGGAACAGCACCTCAAATTCTTGAAAGCAAAACTCATGTCACGTCTATGTGTTACAACACGGGGGGCATCAAAACTGCAGGGCTGGAGGTTCTTACTGAGGCCACAAAGCCTGCCAAGTTTCAAGAAGATCAGTGCAGGGGTTTGGGGGGAACTGCCCCTCAAGCACCAGGGACTCTGGGCCCAGCTCAATACACAGGACCTAGCTACTACATAATGACTTAACCAGCATCAATTAGCACCTACAAAACAGGGCTAAGGAGAGGAAAGAATCAATACAGACAATCAACTGCCCCAGGACAGACACAGTCTTGGCACGAGTCTTGTCCGTCAGCAGCTAGGGGTGCAGGGCCCCAGGACCCCCCTGCACTGATCTCCTCCACAGCTGGCAGGCGTCACAGCAGGGGCCACCATCCCTGCGCTGTCACCCTGCTGCGCCTGAACACACGCTGTGTCACCCATGGCACGAGGTTTGCTTGTCCACAGCTTGAGGGGCAGTTCCCCGCAACCCCTGCACCAATCTCCTTGAAACTTGGCAGGCTTTGTGGCCTCAGTAAGTGCTACCAGCCCTGCAGTTTTGACCCCCCTGTGGCATAACACATTGACGTGACAGGAGTTTGGCTTTCAAGAATTTGGGATATAGTTCCCCCCAAACCCCTGCACCGATCTTCTTGAAACTTGGTGGGTTTCATGCTCTCAGCAGGGGCTACTAAACCCTGCAAGTTTAATCCAAATCAGACGAAAAACAACAACATTATAGATATTTCATTGATTCCCCATTATACCCTATGGCTGGAACTCCGAGGTGTCTCCAAAGCTTCGGCCGGATCAAGGCGGAAACCCGGTCCCGAGCTGTGGATCGGATCGCGGCCATCCAAAGCGGCCAGATCTGAAGCCGGATCAGATTGCTGTTGTCTTGCACAGGCCTATTGCTCATCAGTTGCCAAGTGAGAAGCTCATATATGGGCATAGAGTGGTTTATTTCTTCTTGGAAAAGCTAAAGAACTCTTTTGCATGGAGATCTTAGTTCTGACTTGCAATTTCTTCTAGCAACCTGGGTGCCAGCACCTTTACATTAGGAACAACCAAAACTGATTTATAATTAGGTACTTTAATGAACTGAAGCTCTGCCTTAGGGGGTGTAGCAACAGGCTACACCCTTACCAGACATCTCCTGCTAAAGTGAGCGACATTTGATTTTGTTGGAACAACCAATGCATTGCTCCAACAACAAAATGGAGCAACTTGCTCCATAAGAAAACTGGAGAAATACAGGCTAAATAAAATTATCACAAGGTGGATTCATAATTATCTCAATAATCGCAAGGAAAGAGTAACCCACACTGAGGCACCCTCATGTCCTAGCCAGCTGGGTTGGTGTCCACACGTGTGCTGCTGTGCAGAAAAAAAACTTGGCAGCAGGGTATTACTTATATTTACAAGTACTATCCTGCTGCAGAGTTAATTAGTTTCCTGTGCCCTAATAGGGGCACATGTGTAGATGCTGAGACATTTACTGCAGAGCTAATTAGTCAGCTCTGCAGTAAAAATCTCATGTAGATGCGCCCAGTTGGTTATAGATTGATCTCCTTGTTCTCTCTTTTCCCCCTTCCCACTATTGAAGTAACTAGTATTTAGTGGCCAATTAGCTCAGTTGGTTAAAGCATAGTGCTAATAATGCTGCGGTTACATGTTTTATCCCTAGAACGACCCAAAGACCTTTCCTGCCTCAGACAGGGGTTTGGACTAGATGTCCCGTCTCTTCTTGCCTTATTCCTTTATGATTTCTATGCTGTTCATTGAATCATATAGAAGCGGGGCTGGGAGGGACCTCCGTAGGTCATCTAGTCTAACCTCTATAGGTCACCAAGTCTAACCCCTGCCTGAGGCAGACTGATTCCTATCCAAGTCATCCCATACAGACAACAGTGAAAGTAAGGGTTCATTCCCTGCCCCTGAGATGCTCAGGTACCTTACTGAGTCTGAGTCTGGCTCCATCAAATTTGTTTTCTTTCTGTTGCCAAGACATCTTCCCTCTTGGTTACGTAGCCCAACCTCAACAGGAAGGTACTCTCAGCCCTGCCTGTCCTGAGGCCTGAAGATTAGGTTGTATTTTTTGGTGTGAAACGTAAGAATTCAGATCCCTTCAGGAAGAAATGAGCCTAGAACCTGGGTAGGTGCCCTTGCCGTTAGGCTGATGGGAAAAGGTGAGGCACACATGCACCAAGCAGTGTCAAACAGCTACTGGGTGCACTTTGTGTGGAGCCCACTTTTGGGGGTGTTCACTGCATTCCTGGGTATGCATGGCAGAACTTAACCTTAACAAACGGACTAGATGACTTTGGGACAGTATTCAGTCACTTCTGAGCACTTGCATTAAATTCTGGCCATTACATAAGGCAAAGCAGATGTTGTTAGATGATTTATCTTCATAAAAAAATTGCATCACTTATGCATCTTAGCAGTGAAACAGAATTTTGTCCTGAGCCTCTTAGGGCTTTTGCAAACCTCTTTTTGGTTTCACTTTTAAGTTAAAGTGCATTAAAACCCCAAAGACTGTAACAACTCCATTGCATTAGCAGAGACCTGGCAAAGAGGGCCAAGAGTATAACACAGTTTAACCATCACCCCTTATTGCCCCTTTTCTTAATACCTGATGATCCACGTTCTACACGAACATTGCTATAGCACCTGGGGTTAGGTCCTGACATTGGTGATCCAGCTTACGCTACCTTGATCATGCGGAGTCAAATCGTCTACTTATGTAAACTGGCATAGTTCAATTGAAGTCAATGTGGCTACACAGATTTACAGACCCTGAGGATGTCTCTCTCATTATCTCCCCTGATATTTATTTAATATTCTCTCTGGAAATAACTCTGAACAGATATCCTGACCTCTTTTGTGTCCTAACTGTACATCTCAAGCCTCTAAGGAAAATTCCTACCAGTAATTAGATGTTCTTTCCAAGAGGATGTTTTACCCGTGGTAGTGATATAAGAGGAGTTGTGCCCTGCACACAAGAACACGGCGAGACCTTTGCAGCATTGAAGGTGTCAATGAGACTTAAAGGATGCATTGGTTTTGTTGTGGACCTCTCTGAATGGGTGATTTCACCTTGTCAGAGGCCATCCTTACAAGAGGGTTGAATTCAAACAGCTATGTGTGGGAGTCAGTGACTGATAGGAAACAGCAAGTGAACTGAGCTTATACACTTATACGGTGAACTGAGCTTATACACTTATACGTATGTCCCTACTTATACACTTTGACTTATGTCCCTACATTTTATAAACTGACTTTTTTCAGGAACCTGAGTTCTGCAGACATGGGACGCCAGACCATGAGAAACTACCCTGGCCTGGTTGATTCAGTCATGACTTATGCCCAGAACTGCGTGGCTGCTAACCGACCTGATGATAAGGTAGCATACATCCCTCTCATTTACTCACAGATCATCAGCTAGTGTCTAGACTAAGCCCTGGACTAGCCACAGCCAGAACATGAACTATTGTTTCTTTTTTAAAGAAATATTTTCAAAGCTTGTAGTAAAAACACAAATGAGGCTTTGTAAATCTCTCAGGAGCTTCATTCCAGGCACAGATGAGAACGCTGCAGCTTCTCTTGTCCTGCAAAGGTTGTGTCTGGTATTATAGGAGAACAAAGTTTGGGACCAATGAGCTTCTCTTCATCTTGCAAAGATAGCAGAGACTGTCTGTACACAATAGCAAAACCGACTTTCTGGGTTTCTATAGGATAGAAAGGGGCATGGGCTGTATCCATTTTCTTTGCTGTCTATATATATTTATACACACATGGGAAGAAGGAGCATTTAGGCCCAGCTTTTAAAAGTTTGGCACGCGCACTCACAGGTGTCATCTCCATTAAAGTACCAAAAGATTGCCAAAAGTGTCTGGAACACAGACGCTCCCATTGTGTCATCTGTAGCAAGGATTTCAGAAGAGCTCAGCTTCTTACGTGCTCCCAAACTGCAGATCTCTTTTGAAAATCCAGTGCATTATTTTGTTGCCCAAGTGAGTGCTGGGCTCTTTTGAAAATTCTGCTTATTGGTGTCATCCTGGAAACTGCCGAACCCATCCAACACTTTTGTTCTGGTCCCCACTTTGTCACTGACTCATTAGGTTAGTGTGTACTGGATGGAAAATATTTTTAAAGGCCCGACCTAGTGAAGATCATTTATTTTTCTATTTAGTTCTTATTCAGTCATTCCTCAGATAATCTCAGTGGGCTTTGTGCCTGAGTTAAGACAGCAAAGTCAGTCACACTCAAGATTTGGCATATCGCATTTATGTCCTGGCAGTGGCATCCTACCTGCCATATACAGCAGCACTGTCAGTAAATCTGTCTGTAAATACATGCACTGTCTTGTGTGCCCATCCAAATATTAAACTGTTGTGTTTATTCTGGGGGTGATTTTAGTCTGTGGAGAACTGCCTCTGCATCCTGCACAATCTCTCCTACCGCCTGGATGCCGAGGTGCCCAATAAATACACCCAACTCAACCACATGGCCCGGAATGCCTCCATGGACCGAAGTCTCACAGGCTGCTTCAACAGCAGAGGAGGAAAACTGGAGGTAAGACATGTTGTTCAGTGCCTGGAGATGAGGGCCTCACTAGGTTCAGGCAAAGAGCAACTGCACTCCCACATGACCAGTGTCAGGAAGGGGGTTCAGAATAGTTGGGGTGGGGATTACAGAGGCATCACATGTCCTATGCTTAGCATCATGGGGAGAGGAGAGAGGGTCAGTCTGTTCCAGACCAGTTAACAACAGGTAGGGGGGTCAGTTGTGCATGCCAAGGGCAAGATGCATGCAGATAGTTACATGCTACCTCTAAAGGACCAAGGGATAATGAAGCGTGATTCCTGTGACAAGTGCCAGTCTCTTAAATATCAACCCCTTATTTTCCCTTAGGAAGATGAGTATAATGTCCCTCTGCCTGAGGAGGATTACAAACCCAGAGGAGCCAACTGGCTTTACCATTCTGATGCCATCCGCACATACCTGTCCCTGATGGACAAGAGCAAGAAAGACTCCACCCTGGAAGCTTGTGCAGGAGCCCTGCAGAACCTCACTGCAAGCAGAGGACTGGTGAGAACTCGAACTCTCTCTCGTGCAAAGTGGTGCATAAATGATCACATTGAGCATGAGCAGTAGGCAACGCGTTGGCCGGTCAGGCACACAACTCTGTGTGCACGCTGGGACCACATGAATAAGTAACAAGTTTATTAAAACAAGGGTTTTAGACCCTGCCCTGTCTTGGACCCAGGTTCTGGCTCCCTTCACCAGGGGCAGGGGTTGAACCTGCATCTTTCTGACATCCTTGTACAGTGCTCTAACCACCAGGCTCTGGGGTAGGCCTTTTCCTGGGCGTATGTCCACCCCTTCTTTTGAGGAAAGTCCTCTGGCAGCCAAGAGAGGAAGATATGTGGGCCAGGAGGCAGAGAGCAAGCTGGAGGGTATGTAGCTCAGTGAGAAGGGCTTTGCTCTGGAAGGGAGAAGTAGCTTGGACCCTTGCTCCCTATGAAGCAGAAACTTTCTCATTAAATGCCTTGCCATCCATTTTACCCAATAAATATGAAATGCGAGGTTCAGTGATTCAGGCTGAAGAAGAGGGCTGGGCTGAAGAGAAGACTGGGCAATACCCAGTCTCTGGCCTGGTGCATAGAACATTGCTAGGAAGTCAGAGAAAACAAGTTCAGACCCCCTTGCAGTGAAAGTGGTTTAGGACCGGGGTTTCCCTGTGCCAGAGTGAGTTCCCTAATCACTTAGCTATTGGACTAAAATGCGGGATGACCCTCTTCCTCATCCTCACTTTTTGGGGACGTACATCCTACCTACTCAGCCATAGCGTAACATCCTGTACATGCACAATAGCCCTGCCAAAAATGCCACTTACGCAACTGAAAATCTACCACTTGAGCACATAAAGTGAAATAATGTGCTGCCCCTAATGATTCACTGGGGGGCCAGATTCTATTCCAGCTATTAGGTATCTAAATGGACTTAGGCACCTACATCTGGTTCAAATCCCTAAAAATCCATTATTGTGCTTACCTTGGTGTCTGTGCTGGTTCTTAGCAAAAAGTACAAAGATAAATTATGCCTTGTTGGATGTTAAATCCAAGTTCCTTTCATATGGGATTTCTGGCTGTTTTCTGGATAGTGATCATTTGTCCCTACGACATTGCTCACGGTACTGAGGTGAGATGACCTGCATGTCACAGATGCAAAGCAGCACATCAGTGACATGGAACAATATCATGATTTTTAAGGCAGTACTTTTTCAGGTGTAGATGTGGATTTTGGTATGTTTAAATGTGCAGGGGCTAAATTAAGCCCTCACTGCAAATATACAGCCTGATTTCACAAGCCTTCTTGGTACCAGCTTTCATTGAGGAAATCTGTGTGCAGGGAATTGGCAGAATGGCATCATTAACCCTTTAGGTTACAGACTAGGGCAGGGACAGGCAATTATTTCGGATGGAGGGCCACTTACTGAGTTTGGCAAGCCATCGAGGGCCACATCAGGCAGCCAGGGGGGCAGATAAATATTAATTTTCTAAATTTTTTAGGGGCCCCGTGAGCCAGATAGAATGGCCTGGCGGGCCGCATCCGGCCCGCAGGCTGCATTTGCCCCACCCCTGGACTAGAGGTTCGTTACTTTGCTCATCATCCTGGTAATAGATAACACCGAACGTATCTCTTTATAGTCAGAGGAAGTAATCAAATTATTTTGTTGCCACTCACCTCAACCCAATGGAATGTGCTGTTGGCAGCAATTCCACATATTCATTGCCTGCAAGGAGGAACAATGTCTATCAGTAACGCATGCCTCTCTTGGAAGAAAGCATGCAGCTGTCTGGCAGTGCAATATTGTTCAGCAGCTTGTTTGGTGATAAGCCAAGAATTTGAAAAAAAATGAAGATTTAAAATTAGGCTTCTATTCCTGTATGTAAGCACCTAAATGACAGCCTGATTTTCAGAGTTGCTGAGCCACACTGTTACACTAATGTTAATGAGGTTAGATCCCCATGCAAGTGTCTGTGTCCAGTAAATGATGCATTTTTCTCAGGTCAGAAGAGAGGTAGCATAGGTATATTTTGTGCATGAAATGTAAAAATCTTCAACTGTTAACAAGCGTAGGCACAACTGTCACCCCCCTGGGCTCGCAAGAGGACAGAACACCCATCCCCTAACAAACTGTTCATCGACAAAATGAATAAAAAATGGCTTGTGAGGAAAGTGGCTATAGAAGAACAAAGAATTTTCTGCAGTTTTGCATATGATGTGGCTATATTTACCTTGCAGTCCACCATGAGTGCACCCCAGACTGCGGTGTGTATTACAGCTGTATCATGCAAGGCTTAGAGGTAACTAATAAACTCTATTTTGCCTCTTAGATGTCTAATGCAATGAGCCAGGTGATTGGTTTGAAGGAAAAGGGATTGCCTCGTATAGCACGGCTTCTCCAATCCAACTGCTCTGAAGTTGTCCGATCTGGGACTTCTTTGCTGAGCAACATGTCCCGACATCCTGTTCTCCATAAAACCATGGGTAAGAAGCTTCAGCCAAAGAGGTTTCTAAGGGATTTTCTAGTTTCTCCCCTTCCATCACAAACCCGCCTTCCTTTGTGGACTTTCTAGTTGAATTCTGCCAAGCATCCCTCTTGGCATTACTTCCCCAAGCAAATACATTCATACTGCTTCTCCTCTCCAAGGTGGATGTTCAGCAGAGCTGGGATAGTGGCCAAGTGATAATATTTGGGCACAGGCCTTAGAAGGAACTCGTAAGATGCCATCTTTTGGACTAGTGTGTAGTCTGGTTAAATAGACTACTTCTAAGACATGTTTGTGTTATGCTTTATAGATAAAACAGATCAGCTGGTCTTTCTGGGCCTTTAGTTTATATATTGGAGTATTTCCTTGGTTGAATTGGTCTGGGTTTCGGTGGTAACAGTATATATGGTCTCCTGGCTTTTTTGAGGCTCACTGCTTATGGCAATGAGTCATTTCAAGCTCAGATGTTTAAAGAAAGTAGCATTTATTGTGCTACTACCACCTGGCATTAAGAATACCTCCATTAGGACTTCCAGGCTTTATAACAAGTAGTATTTAACCAAGGTGTCCCATTGATCTGGTTGATTTAAGTGCTGATTGGAGCATTCCATCTTTAGCTCACCAGGTGCTTCCAGATGTGTCGCGTCTCCTGTCCTTCCAGAGTGCAAACACCAACACCTATGGAGAGATCATGTCATCAGCTTGCTACACTCTGAGGAACCTCATCATGTCCAACCCACACCTGGGCAAATCCTACTTGACAAGCAACATGATAAATAATGTATTAAGCCTCTGCCGAAATGGGTGAGTCTTGGTGAGGAGCAGACTAGAACTAAGGCCCAGACAGTGGAAGTGATTTGCCCAAGGTCACCCAGCAAGCCAGAGGCAGCAATGGCAATGGACCCCAGGCCTCTCAAGTCCCAGTATGATGCTTTGCCCACTAGATTCTACTGGTACCTTGTTGTTATCAGTTAGTGTAATTAATGATGGGTGTCTAAACCGTCTCCTTTCCCTTGAGCAAGAACCAACTCAAACATTATAAGTTGGAAAATTTACCCCAGACAAGAAATGGTTCCAAGTTTGTGCTCTGCTCAGGAGACACCATGGGAAAAATGCAGAGATTGGGGCAGCATGAAAAAGACCAATATTGAGAAATTATAAACAGAATAGTGGAAAGGAGGAAAAGAAAATCCAAAGGAAGAAATCCAGGGCAGGCTCTTGTACCGGTCTGTCTTTTGGACTGACCCTCTGACATGAAAAAAGATGACAGGCTGCAGCTTGGCCAAAAACTCAATTGACCATGGGGGAAATTTTGGTTTAAATGACAGTAGAAGAGGTCTGCAAACTAAATCTAATTTTCCAAAACCAAAATGGAGCTTTAGAGGTTAATGAACAGTCAGACTCCAAGAAGCTGGCCTAGGCCTACAGAAGGATTTATTGCATTACACCTAATGCAGTCCCCACGCAGCACCTTATTGAGCTTCCCATTAAAAGCAACAGTGGGAATTGGATCAAGACCTTAATCTGCTCCTTTTAATTGAATCTCTGTAGTGATCGACTGAGTGGAGGCCTGAGCTCCTCACAGACCACAAGATTTTCAGAATCAAATAGCCATGCGCTTTGTATAGCTCTAGTATAAGCTGCATGAGCGTGTATTGCCTGACGCTGTACATTTTTTAAGCTTTTTGGTGGAATCAGTCGTCAGCTGATTTCATTTCACACGAGCCTTGTGTGTATTACAAGGATTCTGCCAATAGAGGCTTTGCTGCCAGACAGCAGCCACGACATGGAAGCCAACAGAGAGCCTGCACATCCTCACAGCTGTTGGTAGGGCTGCATGGCTTCAGCACAGCAGTTATGCCAGCAAGGCACGTGGTATACCATTGGAGGCACTGGCAGTTCAGGGGACTATAGCAGCCAGCTGGAGGCCTAGTTAACCCCATGCATCTTCTGTTAGGTAGCAGCAGCAGCTTTCTTTCAGTCAGAGAAATGGTATTGCTGTCATGGCAGAAACAAAGGCTGCTGTTGTGGTAGGTGAGCTGGGAGTGTGGACACACTGTGATGTAAAACAGGCTGTAGTCCAACCAGCAGCTGAAGTGTAGCTTTGTCCAGCTGCAATATTTTTAGAGCTGGGCAGCTCCCTGTCTGGTTTTGTTTTGCAGAACCTCACGATGCAGGTTTAGGATAGGAAAGGGTCCAAGCTGCAGAGTCTGAACCAGGTCAGAGCTCACCCAGTGTATAGGGTGTCCAGCATTCATGAGCGGCTGGTGCATCCCGAGTCTGGGGGGACACCAGATCACCGACAGGGGGGAGGAGGGGGTCCCTCAGTGGCCAATCACTGGTTTTGTGGCTGGTGCTTCCAAGGGGTGCATGGCTGATCTCAGGGGGTGCATGTGAACCCGCGTGCACCCCCTATGCATCGCCAATGCCAGCATTTATATTTGGCCAGTCATAGTGATAAGAATAGGCAGTGAAGCTCTGATCCAGTTATGACCCAAAGTCATAGGAAGATGCAATCCAGTTTTTAGCAGGGCAAACCCCCGTTACCATTTGCTGAGTAAGGATTTCATGATTACCACGTATTATTGTTGCTATTTTTATTCAAGTCATAGCTCCTGCATTTCCACTGGACAGTTCAGGGGACTGCAGCAGCCAGCTGGAGGCCTAGTTGACCCCACACATCTTCTGTTAGAAGGCAGCAGCAGTTTTCTTTGAGTCAGAGAAATGGTATTGCTCTCCTGGCAGAAAGAAAGGCTGGTGCTGTGGTATACAGGGTTATTCCTGTAAGTGCACTACTGAGTAATCCAATCAGCCCACTTCTGCATAAACCCAGCAATGATACTGTCCAATTTCCTTCCTGTTTTCTGGTCCTTTCAATTCCACACCTCAGGAATGTCTCTTTAGCTTAGTGCAGTCCCATTCATCTGGGCCACAGCCCAACTCCCCTCCTTCCTTTGTGCTTACCCACTTTGCATACCAACAGCTGGGTGCCAAATGATCTCTTCAAGGCAGTGCACAAGGTCTTGGTTGAATAATTTTCAGCATGGCTAGCTCATCCCCTGCAGACATCACACGTGTCCTTCTTTGTGGATAGTGCTTGGGTTGTGAGAGTTGCTGGTCTCTGTCCAGCCAAAAGTCAGTGGGTTCCTTTCATCCTTCCAGCTCCTGCCCAAAAGCCGCTGAGGCTGCTCGTCTCCTACTGAGTGACCTTTGGTCAAATAGGGAGCTGCAGAGTGTGCTCAAACAGGTAAGAACATTTTTTTTTTCCTATTTTACAGCTAATAGACTCATATAGAGCTGGACTTGCCCAGGGCATTTTGGCATTTACGTGTCCAGGGAAATTCCATTCTTGGGCATCTATGGATAACTAAGTAATTATTCAGGCTCACACCACCAGAGCTGACAGAGACAGAGACGCTGCTCATCTTTTACCCCAAATAGCTACATGACTAGGACACACACTTGGGAAGGCAGAGGTGAGGTATTTACTGGGCTGGAAAGGATGGGGAGGAGGAAGGGGCATGGCTCCCTTGCCTGCAATATGGCAGAAGCTTCCCCCCTGCACAGCCCTCCATCCATTTTTTCTAATGACTATATTAGAGGCTCAGCTTCAAAAAGAGTACCAAAGAGGGGGCTAGATAAAGGCTGGCCCATGGTGTGATGGTTGGAGTACTTTACTGGAAAGTCTGAGATTCCCTAGTGCAAACCCCCTCAGGATCCCGATAGCAAGAACTCGAGACCTCCAGCTTTCCAAATGAGTGCCAGTGAGCTGGGAGGAAGGGGACAGATGGACACCCCTTTACTGTTCTTCAGTCTAAGTCTGGCTGTCACAGGTTAGGGCTAACTCCATTTTTAAGTGTTTACGGCTGCTGTCCTTCCACAAGGGCCACATGTGTACATGCTATAGCCACTACTGAGTATGCTCTGTCTGTGCAACGTAGTAGCAGCCTGTAGTTGTCCATGTGCAGGCCCATGAGTTAGGGAATAGAATAACTCTGGTTGTACAAGTGCCAAAAAATGGCCACTCAGACAACTAGGAAAGAATAGAAGGTCACTCTTATTGTCCTTAGACATCCAGACCTGGCCCTCCTTCCGTGTACGCTGGTACACGTTAGGAGCAACTCCAACATCTTGTCCAAAGCAAGTGTAAGTGGCAGAAGCTGGTCATGGGGACTCTACCTCACATGAGTTAATGGAAGTCGACTGATAGATACAACGTCAAGGCTTTTTTTTCTCCCTTCTCCCTTTCTTCTGCTTGTCCAGAGACTTGCTCTGCAACCACCTTTCCATGTCAGAGTTAAACTAATCTTCAGAATAGCAAGAAATATACCCAGGAATTGTCTTGTTCCCAGCTTCCTTAGCAGAATCCCCGAACCTGCAATTTCTGGAAGCCCATGTACAATGGACTAGCCTCTAAACAGTCCTCTTTGACCAAACCAAGGTTCTCCTTGCCCACACCAAGGAAAGCTGGCAGCAACAAGAGAAATAAATGGAGTGACTAAGTAGAAAGGTAACTTTCAGACAGCAGATGCTGCTACCTGTGGATTGTAAATGAACATAATTTTTAGAATAAAAGTAATTTTCTTTTATATCGCTGCACATGACCTTACTTCAGCCATTTTAGGATGGCAAGTTAATCCACCTCCATTTTGGCAAGACTGAGCTCCTCTTGCATATCCCACATGCGGTCATGGTATATATATATGCAACAAACATGCATGCTCATTTCCCTTTTTCTAGCATAGGAAGGAATGCTTTCTCCTCAAGGAATGGTAAGGTCCTGCTATGAGAAGTGGGAAGACAATGTAGGAAAGACTCATTCCAGCAATACGTACGATTTATTTACATGACATAAATATCACACAACTCTGTGCAGGCCCAAGGTTGTACAGGGGCCATGCAGCATGACCAAGTGTTTCTGTGAAGGATGTATGGAGCTAACTTGTGGAGTGCAGGCAGAGCTTTGAGGCAGGACAAGAATGACTTATGATTGATGACAGTAGATACTGATTTGGATTCCACCTGCACTAACAGCATTTGGCATATTTTTCATACCTCCTTCTGCAGCAAGGATTTGATAAGAACATGATGGGATCCTTAGCTTCGACCACTTTCAGGACCCTGTCCTCCAGATTTTAGAGACCTCCAGCAGAAGATGAAGCTGCAGGTGAGAGAATGGGATTGTCAATGTTGGAGTATTTGCAGTATTCAAGGACCGGCAAGATGGTGCCTTGACCTCATCCGCAATGTCATATCTCTACATCTGCTGCTCTGCAGATGGTGAGCACTAGAGGCTGTTCCCAGGGGTCTAGCAATATATTCAGAGATGAACTCTACGGGGCAGGAATTTTGCCTCCTGTATTTGTACAGTGCCAAACACATTACTCACCAAATGTGATAGACCAATGAAGCCTCATCTCTTCAAACAGGACAGCACATCTGTGGTTTCAATCTTTTTTGCCAACTAGAAAATGTATTATTAAATGTCAATTTACAAAATGAAGTTACTAGACAAAGACATCTTCTGTTCCAGATGCAAAGATATCCATCCAGAAACATGTTCATTCTTGGACCATGAGTCATGTCAGTTAGACCTTGCGAATATTACAGAATTATTCCCAATACTTGTTATGGCTCTTAGCAGGTCTAATCACTTTCTGAACCTTTAAACAAATCTTTGAAAAGTCTTATGAATCTTTAAGCAAATCTCTGAAAAACCCGGTTGGATAGGTAAAAACTAAGAAATCACGTCGTCTGCATAACGCAGATAGAAAGGTTAAAGTTGATGTTTTTAGATGTTCACTAAACTGTATTTCAGACGTGCTAATTGTCTGTATCTGTAACTGAAATGAATGGAAGTGTGGGGTGATCAGCACCACCTCTTAAATATTGGGCCTGCTTGGGGTGTGTGCAGCTAAAAATTAGGTAAATTAGTAATCAGCTCCAGTCCGTGGATGCCCTTTGTGGATAAACATCTTGTTGGCTGCCAGCCCAGCCCTCCTATAGGGCCAAAAAGATGCAAGAGTCAACTAGCTGCGGTTGCACATTGGGGAATTGCACCTATATTGACTAACATGATCACCTCCGCTCACAGTCATAATGTACACGTAGGCAGGGGAGTGTAGTAGCAATTAAATGAACTTACGGTTTTAACACAGACAAATGATGTTAAGATTTCTGAATGTGAAAGAGTCAGTTTGAAAGGATTAATGTTTTCTTTCATTTTCAGGGTTTATCATTGGTTCATGTCTGGGAAGATCCAATCCACGAGGGATTAGGCAGGACATTAAAGATATACAGTGTTTCTAGAGTTAAGCTCACCTGTAAAGATAACTAAGTACGAAAATTTTATGTGGACGATACTGATATTTTAAAGCATTTTCTTCATTTCTTAGAGGGGGTGGGGTGGGGAGGGGAGTTTTCAGTTTAAAATTTCTTGATGTCAAAGCTTGTGTGTGTTTCTGTTCGTGTATGTGCACACATTCATATATCTCCATACCCATCCACCCACATCCAGACACACACAAGTGGACTTTTCCAGAGGGTTTCCTAGGGGGGTTAGTCCCCACAAATTCTATTGTAAATCATTGGGAGGTGTGTACCTAACCCTCTCAGGAGTTTCTGAAAACCTCATGCTATATATGCACTAACCACTGCTTTCTCAAACCCTTGTCACAACCCATTTTTACCCAAATATACAAAACTACCATGCTATGCATTTATTCCATTGTAGATGACCACTGTAGACAGATTCACAACACAATGCTCCTATTTTAGATGGCTGGTGATTTCTAACCTTTGTGGACATGGGCTTCTCTCTCTGCTTTTGACTCTTTCTCAAGTCAGCTTTCATTAGTCAGATTTATTAGGTATTGGCTGTCGTAGGTCACGTGATTTCTAAATCTCAAGAAGCAAATTCATATCTGAAAAGTATCCCTTAAATCACAGTCGTTAAAAATTCTCATCAACTGTATGTTACAGAACAATATAAATAATTCATGGAAGACATTGGGGACACAAACCGTGTTGAACATCACAACAATTATACCCAGCTCTAAAAATGTTATTATAGTCAGCTGCCATCTCATCCCTGTAGCAGGCCAAGCATGACATTTGATAAGCTCAGATGCACACAGATAAATGCAGTTATTTCCCACAGCTGCTGTGAAGTTTGAGTGTGGCTTGAAAGGGGAGAAAGGTAGCATTTTTATGACTGTGACTGATTAGAAACCAACATAGCATATTGTTATTAAAATGGTTTTAAACATTGAAAAAAGCTACATTAGGAAATATATTATGAAGTATTTTCTAGCCCCAAGAGCATCTTCAACTCATCCTGTTCTACAAAGGCTGGCTGAAGTGGCAGAGGAAACCTAAATTCCCTATCAATCATTTGATTTATTCTTAAGTCATTTAACAGATCAAACAGATGGTTCTGTCTTGCTCTTTTTCAAAAAGATCTCTCCCCAGGCTTTTTTGGAAGCATGTCTCCCTTGGGGAAAGGATTGATGAACTTATTGAGTACATATGTGCTAATTGTCTTACATGCAATACTGTTGCATGGTGCAACTCTGATGGAGCACAGGCATTTTATAAATTCTGGGGTTGAGTGGGACTTGCTGAAAACAAGCACTATGGAAATGAGCCAAGAAAGGGAAACAATGCAAGGGTTTGTTGGGTGTTTTTTTGGTTGTTGTTTTTTGTTTTGTTTTGTTTTGTTTTGTTTTGTTTGGGGGGGGGGGCTACAGTTTGGAGGCAAAAGGACAGAGCCAGCTCTTCAGCTGGTGGAAATCAGACCGACTCCGTCAGCTTAAATTAATGTCAGTAAATTTGCATGAACTGATAATCTTCCTCAAAGAGTTTACATTTGCCCTGGTCTGGCTGTTCTCTAGGTCTGAGCAGAGAGATAGATAATTTAGAAATTGCACCTTCTTGTATTGGTATGAAGTATGACTATTCAGCCAAGGCACAAATGCAAGAAAGGAATGGTAAAATGCAGGGGTGGCCAACCTGCAGCATGGGTGCCACAAGTGGCATGGCAGCTAGGCCTGTGCGAAGCAGCTAGTATTTGCTTTGGATTCAGATTCGGCCGATTCGGGGGACAGTGATTCGATCTGGTGATTCGAATCACTGTCCTGGTTCTGTTCAACTGAATCTGATTTGGAGATTCAGCTGCTGCCAAATCACCCCCCACCTGGCAGCACCCAGTGAGCACTGGGGCTTTTCTTTAAAGTACAGGGAGCTGGGGTGGGCAGGGCAACTGTGGCGGGGCTGGGGGAGTTGGCAGGGGTCAGTGGGGCTGGGAGAGCGAGTGAGGTCAGGGGGGCTGGCAGGGGTCCCCCCATGGTCTCCTCCCCCCTCCTCCAACCCTCCCTCCCCTGCCCCTAGTACTTCCCAGCTCAGAGTGGCTGAAGCTGCCTGCTGCAGCCACTGGGGACTGCCCAAATCACCAAAGATTCGGAGAGCTTTGAATCGATTCGAACCTTTAAATTGCTCCCCTGATTTGATTCGGATTCGGAGATTTGCCCACTGAATTGGGCTGAATCTCTTCCAAATCAAATCACCAACTGAAGCTTAACACAGCCCTAATAGCAGCCTCTGTGAGTGGCACGCAGCAGATCAAAGAGGGAGCTGGCAGCCTGGTGGCAGATAGGCCAGGGAGCAGAAAGGAGAGCAGCAGATCAGGCAGAAAGCACAGGGCAGGAAGCAGGGAGTAGAACGCCTGCCAAAAAGGTTGGCCCTGTTTGGTATGATGGAGAGGGTTATTCAGTTAATTTTCACTGGAGAAGCAGAAGATCTTTTAACAATTTGCATGTTGAGGGGCAAAGTCTGCTTCCTCACTAACTTCTAGGCGAGGATATTTGCTTAAGAGAGGTAGAGGAAGAAATAAGCTTTCCTGAATTGGACTGCTGAACATTAACAAATGCATATGGTCCCACACTCAGGAGCATTTAAGCCTAGCTGCAGCTGGGGAATTTTGATCTGGGATCTTGACCTTGCCATACCGCTCAGATATTAAACTACTGATATATATGGTTCGAGATGTTTTTAACAGAACACAAGAGTTTGTCTGCCAAATTTTGTTTTAGGAATATAGGAACGTAGGGCTGGAAGGTACCCAATGAGGTCATCTAGTCCAACCCCTGCACAAGGCAGGCTTATCCCTGACTAAACCATCCTGGTCTGTCTAAGTAGCCAAATGTCTGTTCCAGTGCTTATGTACAAGATACTATACTTTTGGAATAAGGGTGTATTGAGTGTAATTTTTCATCCTGTCCGTTTCCTAGTTTGTTTGTACAATCATTTCACTTGCATGGGCAATCTGAGCAACTGTGCACTTACAATTTATGCATTTGAGCATAACATCTTTGCTTTAAAATTAATGGAGAAAGCCTAATGATGTAATGCCAAGGGGAGTTCATTATAATTTTGCAGTTAATTGCATGCTGTGCCTTTATTTGAAACCATCATTACTTTATGGAACAACTACATTTTGAGTATTGCTTTAGAGGGTAAGGCATAAATAGTGGTAACTAAATGAAAATGGCCTGCTAATTATATTCTTTTCAAGTGCCTTATGGTTAATTCTTAAAGTCAAAAGAACATTTACATCACTGGCATAAATTCTGTTAATTTTACTGGAGAGTTTTAAGCCAAGGTCAACAAATAACTCCAGAAGAGATAACCGTATAAGGTGTGGTTCATTATTACATCACGCAATTTAGAAGATAGCCAAATCAGGAGATTAGTGTGCTCTACAGCAACAAACACATCATGTTGTACAATCAGGAACCACACAATTACCTCAAAGCTATTGCACAACTAGAATTTGCCTGTAAAATTCAGTGATAATAAAGGGCATTCTCCTCTCAGCCACCTTAGGGTAAACCTGGATTCACTCTAGAAATCAGTGGAGTAGCCCTGGTGTTAAATTAGTAGGTGAAAAGAGAATCAGACCCTTTGGAAGAAGTTGTTCAGTGAAAGAGGAGTTTAGTGATTTACTTTGCCATGTGAAAAGACATGTCTACCTTTAAATCAAAAACCTGCACTGCTTAGAGTGACACTGGTTCTTAAAAGAATATTTTAAAATATTTACGGGGGTGTTGGTTGTAGCCGTGTTGGTCTAAGGACACAGGCAGACAAGTTCTTTGAGTGAATCTGATATCTTTTATTAGACTAAGTTGGTCTAATAAAAGATATCAGATTCACCCAAAGAACCTTGTCTGCCTAAAAATATTTGTGTGACAACTTCTTCAACAACAGTATAAGTGTATTTTGAGCCTAGGATTTTGTTTTTTTGCATGCTAAAAAGAGTTTTTATCATATCCTCAAATAATACTGATGAGAGCAGGCCTGCCGTACACAGCCTGTGCTCCTGTTTGTGTTGTATTGGTGGTAAAGGAACGGAGATTTACTGGGCTGTTGCTCATCGCCACCTTGAACTCTACCGCATATAGAAGTAAGAATTTAGTGTCTGCCTAGAACGGGGATGGCCAACCTGCAGCAAGCTTCCCACAAGTGGCATGAGAAGTTTCTGTGTGGCATGCGGCAGGTCATGGAGGGGACAGCAAAGCAGCAGACTGGACAAGGAGCAGAAGGCAGAGCAGGAGATCAGGCAGGGAGCAGAAAGCAGAACAATAGATCAGGTAGGGAACATAAGGCAAGGAGAAAATCCAGAGAAGCTGATCAGGCAAGGGAAGGGGATCAGAGTGGCACTCAGGGAGGGTGTGGGGCTAATTTGTGGTACAGATGCCAAAAAGGTGGCCCCCCCCCACCTCCACCCCTTGCCCTGCTAGCATAGAATATAAGTCATATATAGATGTACCACACCTGGTTGTGTCCTATGCTTAGCTCAAGAGTTGCTTCTATTTTCCGACAAGTGCTTTCTTTTGTGTACTGTAAAATCCTAATAGAGGGAAGAGTCAGCCACTATCTTCCAGCCCCGGAATTTCAGATGCATTGTGGACAATTTAAAAGCCATCTAGGCTGCTTTATTTCTCTGTTACCTTACCACCATTTTATCACCATCTCTGTAACCAAATAGCCTATAGCTATAGAATATATTCTGTAAGGTATAGATGAGTGAGAATAATGTGCCAGAGTTGTTTTTCTATACTGTATGTATTTGCTTCACTGGAAATTTTGAAATCAATAAAAGTCATGGTATTTCTTGATCTTTGTCCTTTGGGTTGTTGTTGTTTGGTTTCTCCTGCCATAGAAACTTTTGAAAAGTAGCAGCATTGAAAAATAATACAAAGTCGATTGCTCTCCAGCAATGTCTACTCTAGCACCTGGGCCAGAGTCAGTGGAGTGATCTATCTCATTCATCCTGCAGTCAGAAATCCTGTTTAATCTAGTTTTATACCTGTTTTAGGTCAGTGGTACAGCTGGAATGTGCAGTATGTTCAGCTCCAGCAAATAATGCCTTTGCCCAGTGGAATTTCTTGTAAGAAAGTTTAATATTAGTTTGGAGAAATGCTTTGAAAATGCTTTTGAAAAACTGTCTGGTCTAATCACTGTTGTCAGAATAAACCCAGCGTGCCCCAGCTTCCAAACTGTTCCTGTCTGAAGTTAGTCATGCAGCTTCTCCATCTTTATACCCATACTGTTAAATGGTCAGTTGTACTCTGTCTACAAATCATTGGTTTCACGGGGAGCAGATGAGGCCCAAAGGAAGCACATCTCAACCTGAAATAATTGCAACAGATGCTTGTGATGAAATCATGTTCTGCCAACTCCACACTAATAACTTGCACACACTTGGAAAGCCCAGATTAAGTGACATTTCTTAACACAAATTTCCACCCTTCAGCTAAGATGTCCTTAGCTAACATAAATAGTTAGTGATTTATTCTTTTAGTGGGCTCTGCTGCTAAGGACTTCATTCACAATAGGGACTTAGTTGCCTACAGGTGCAGCCAAAAGCAACTTTTGAAAGATTCCCAATGCAATAGACTTCAAAAAAATTTTTTAAATCATCATTTCAGCTGGAGGACATATGTAGAGCCCCTGTAGCACCTGCCCAGCTGGAACATGTCTAATCTCTCCAGCCAGAAGGTGTTTGTCAGCGGGGCAGTGAGGACTGCCAGTGCCTACCTCCCTAACCCTGGGATTTGGACTTGCCATCCCCTCTCCCTCTCCTCTCTGCATCACCAGGGAGGTTGGGACTGGGGAGTAGTGCCAGGCCCTCAAATACCAGAATGGCTGGGACCAGGGAATGGGACTCAACAGTTGTCAGGAGTGAGACCCAGTGGGAGTCAGCCCGACAGACTACTCATGCCATTCTTCCTCCCTTCCTTGTGAAAGAGGTAGGGGTGAGCATTATGGGATTTTGGAGGCCCTGTGGCTCCCCTGTCCCTGTGCCCAGGTAACAAGAATTGAAAAGCTACCTGGCTATACGAGAGGTCGGTTCAAACCCTCTCAGACAGACGCAGCTTGGTTTCCCACATTTGGGAGTACGTTCTAACTGATGCATGGAGTGGTTGGTAGCTCTGCTTCCTCCTGACACGTTGAAAGGCCTGACCCCACCTTGGTTTTTAAAGAAATGTCTGAATCAAGGAGTGAGAGTACAGGGTTGTGAAGCCTGAGAAATGATAAGCCCAGGAATTAGGCAACTAAGTCCCAAAAGGGTATAGATGCACCTTTGTTCTCAGTGTTTCTTATTGGCTGGCTTAGCCAGTTCCCCGTTTCTGTGAGTCAAATATTTACAAACCTAGTTCTTCCTTGGCCATGGCCAAGATAAATTTGCCCTACACAGCAGAGCTTACCAATGTTCTTTGCTACTTGCATGGTATCTTGCAAACAGACACTTTATAGGTTACAGAAACAGATGGACATCTCTGATTAGATTTGGAATGCATTTTTGGATATCATAGACAACGTTTGCTTATGGAATTGTTCAGGGATGGGATCCCTTCATGGGACTCTAGTCATGGGTCACTTCCAGTGACACCGTTTATTGTCCTTGTTTTTGGCTGGTTTGGGTAGGTCCAAATGATAGGGAGATGTTAGGAGACTGGGCACAAATACAAGCAGTCAGCTCCTAAACTCTTTGTGTAC